GGGGCGGGGCGGGGGCGGGCGCTGGAGCAGGAGGGGGTCAGGCGGTGGCTGGGGCCGGCTCAGCATGTGGTAGCAGGCCTCTGTCTGGGCACTGTCTGAGAAGTGGGCTGGCATCCCCCGAAACAACGCAGGTGCCATGCCTAGAGCACGGGTCAGAGGTTACCCAGGCCTGTTCCTGAGCTCCAGGCTTCGGCCCTGGCCCCAGCCCTGGCCCTGACCAGCCCCAGCCTCTGCTCACCCCCAGCCAGGACGACCTTGCTCAAGTCATACACCTCTTCCTCTGGCTCCTTCTCCTTCCTCTTCTTCTCCTTCTTCTCAGGAGCCCGAAGCAGAGAGAGCTCCTCAGGATGCCGGATGCCTGAGGGGAGTTGGGGTCTCAGTGGGGACCAGGGCCTGCCCCAAGACCTCCCGATCCACCCACGTGCACCCTGCAGGCAAGAAGAGATGAACAAGGTGACAGTAGCAGGCCAGGAAAGTGTGGGACATACCCGAGGAACCCTTGCAGGCTGGTACGTGGGGCCAGCCTGAACAACTCACTGAGGAGGCGGCAGATGGCAGCCACGGCCTGGAAGAGGGGCTTCGAGAAGCTGGCGCGGAGGCGCAGGGCACGGCGGTTGGGCAACCGCAGGATGACCGGCCGGTGCTGTGGCCCAAAGAAGAGGCGGGCGTCGGCCAGGATTCCATACTTGTCCAAAGTCCAGTGTGTCTGCAGCAGCCACTGTTTCTTCTGTTCCCACCAAATGGCGTGGTCTGACCAGTCCTGCTTGCGATCTGTGGGGGCCACAGGGAGGAGTTGGATGCACAGGCCTGCAAGGCCCTGCTGCTCCTCCCTGCTTCCATCCAGACACTGAGCACGGGCCCAGGATTCCGAGGACTGTGATCACGGCTGCTCTTCTCTGTCCGAGCCAGGAGCAGGGCCAGCTGGGTCAGCTGTGCTCAAACCCAGGTGAAGGCAGCACGGCTCTTTGCTGCCTCAACCCTGCTTGTCCTTCTGGGCCCAGACACGCAGGGAAGCCCCTCGACCCAGAATCTGTGTTCCCCAATCTTAGCACCTTCACCTCCTGTGCGCCGGCTCACCATGCCTCCTCCATACAGAACTCTTTCTCTTCTAATTTGTTTGTTTGTTAAGATTTGTTTTGTTTTTCAGGACCAGCAGATGGCATGATGATTATGTCACTGGACTCTCACATAGTTGACTGTGGTTTGAGTCCTGGACCCAGTGGCTTAAAACTCACACTGGGCGTGTGTGCGTCTGTGCCCAAAATCCTAAGAGGAGAATGGAGAAGGGATTGTGGTGTGGCCATCCCCCCAGGGGATGATTTCTTGCTTTCTGTCTATTTGTCTTTCCAGCAAAAGCACGTACCATATACCAAAAAAATCTCTCTTTAAAAAAAAGAAAGATTTGTTTTTTTCATGCTGGGCATGTGTATGTGCATGCCCCAAAATCCTGACAGGGTGGAGAAAGGAAAGGACTGTCCACTCCAGGGTGCTCTCTCCCTTCCTCTTTTCTCTGTTTCTCTGTCTGTGGTACACGCACACACCTTCTGGCGAGGTTTTTTGTTGTTGTTGTTGTTTTTCCTGAGAGAGTTTTTGCTATAGAACCTGTGTGTTCACTGGAGAGGCAGAGAAAAACAGACAGAAAGCAAGAAATCACCCTCCAAGGGGGATGGCCATGCCACAATCTCTTCTCCTATATTTCCCTCCCAGGATCTTGGGCATGTATGCGCATGTACCCGGGGTGTTTTTTTTTTTTTTAAAGAATTATTTTATTTAACTTTATTTAATATTATTATCACTATTATTTTCCAGTTTGATCAGAGAGAGACGGAGAGAGAAAGAGGAAGTGAGAAAGCAAGCCACCAGGTCCGAGACTTGAACCGTGGTCGGCCATGTGGGAGTCCAACGCCTTTAACCACCATGCCACTTGCTGGCTCCTTGGGGTGAGTGTTTTTAAGCCACTGGGTCCGGAACTCAAACCACAGTTGACTACGTGGGAGTCCAGTGACGTAACCATTATGCCACCTGCTAGTCCCCTGGCAAATTTTTAAAAGATTAATAATAAAAAATACTCAGGGAGCCAGCAGGTGGCATGGTGGCTTAGGCACTGGACTCTCATATGGTCAATGGCAGTTTGAGTCTCAGACCTGGTGGCTTGTAAATCTCTCTGGGTGTGTGTGCATGCACCCCCCAAATCCCTAGAGAATGAAGAAGGGATTGAGGCATGTCCATCTCACCCGGGGGGGTGTTTTCTCATATTCCCTCTCTGTCTGTCTCTGATGAGCATATATAAACAAAACTCAAAAACCTAAAAACAGAACAGAAAAAAACAATAGCAATACTACCAAAAAAAAAAAAGATATAACCATTGCTCCAACACCACGGACACTGAACAATGCCTGCTACGTGGCATGGTAAGCTCAGAGTGTGTGTGACATGCCTATGCACACACGTGAGTGAGCCTGTTAGGACATGGACACATCACTGGTCACCTAGCTAGGAACTGGGGACACGGTCATGGATGCAACGGGCTCCTTTGCAGCCAGCCCCCAGGAGCACAAGCTGGCAGGAAAATGAGCACAGGAGCAAGGCGACTGCAAGCCGCTGAGTGCACAGCCCTCCCCTTGTGAGGCCCTTCCTTTTTTCTTTGCTATAGGGTGTGCGCACTTGCCAGAGAGACAGAGAGGGAACGTGAGAAATCAGCCCTCCAGGGGGATGGCCATCCCACCATCCCTTCTCTATTCTCCTTTGTGGGATTTTGGGCATGCATGCACACTTGCCTGGCATGTTTTTCAAGTGACTGGGTCTGGGACCACATAGTTGGCCATGTGGGATCCATCTGCCTTAACTTCCATGCCACCAGCTAGTCCTACAAAGCCCTTTTCTTGAGTTCTTCCCGGGTCCTCCCTGGGAGGTATGCAATTCCGTCCTGCTTTGCCCTTATGCCTCACTGGGATTTTGGGCATGCATGCACACTTGCCTGGCATGTTTTTCAAGTGACTGGGTCTGGGACCACATAGTTGGCCATGTGGGATCCATCTGCCTTAACTTCCATGCCACCAGCTAGTCCTACAAAGCCCTTTTCTTGAGTTCTTCCCGGGTCCTCCCTGGGAGGTATGCAATTCCGTCCTGCTTTGCCCTTATGCTTCACTGCTTTGACTGCTTCTTTTTTTTGGAGAGGTTTTTGCTATAGGGCACATGCGCTCACCAGACAGACAGAGACAGAAAGCGAGAAATCACCCCCCAGAGGGGATGGCCACGCCACAATCCCTTCTCCTCCATTCTCCTCTCAGGATCTTGGGCACGCATGCACACACACCCGGCGTGAGTTTTAAGCCACCAGGATCCGGGACGCGAACCGCAGTTGACTACGTGGGAGTCCAGGATGTGAATCGTAGTCGACTACGCGGGAGTCCAGCAACATAGCCATTACACTAACTGCTGGTCTCTTTGACTGCTTCGTGACACTACCCACACCACCCTCCCTAATGCCCCAGTGTTGTCGAATCCCAGAGCAGCTTCTGCTTGACCCCTCTAGGGCCATAACCCTTCCCTCCTGTGTGCCCTCGCTCTGTCCTTGGCTTTGTGCTACCCACTTCTCCTTCTCTGGACTCTGCTTTTTTGGGTCTTCTTTGGTCCCCTCTCCTGGCCTGCCCGTTACCTGTTCTTTCACTGAGTTCAGTTGAGGACCCCTTCTCCCTCCTCTGTTGTGCCCTCTGGGGGAATCTCCCCTGTTCTATGGCTCTAGATGCCATGGCAATCCCTTCTCCTCCATTCTCCTCCCAGGATCTTGGGCACGCACGCACATATGCCTGGCGTGAGTTTCAAGCCACTGGGTCCAGGACTCAGACCACGGCTGACCCTGTGGGAATCCAGCACCTTTAACTACCACGCCACCTACTGGCCCCTCCAGAAAACTGTTTACCTGGTTCTGGACTTCTCAATGCAAAGACACCAAGCCCCAGCCCCTGAGGTTCTCAGCTTAACTGACTCTGGATAGAGGCACTCCTTTTCCACTATGTCTTGTGCTGGGAGCCATCAATTCCTGGCCAGAGGCATCATCCCTGCTGCTGTCAGCCACCACGTGTAATTGATGTGAATCCCACTGCCGAATCCACCCTGCTCTCCATCCTCCCTGCCCAACCTTGGGAGGCCACCGGGCCTCTCACTGATGGCTACAGCAGCCTGATTCAGGTCTACAGCCTCCAGTCCCCTCACCTGGCTGCCAAGGGATCTGCCAGTGTAGACCTTACTATCGTCTCCTGCCAAAAACTCCGGGTGGCTACTCTTCACCTCGAAGATAAAGCCAAACCCCTTACAGAGGCCTACAAGGCAGGCAGGAGCTGTCCTGGGCACTCCCAGCCTTGCTTCTTGGCATGCTCTGGTGCCCTCGCCAGCCTAGAGGCTCTAACTCAGAGCACCCATGTCCCTCCCTGCTCTGCTCCCTCCTGCTGCAGCTTCTCTCAGGACCGTGTTCAGTGTCTTCCCCTGGGAGGTCTCCCCACCCTGGCAGAGGGCAGCCCCCCTTCTGGCTCTGAGCCCCAACAATGGTGCTCCTGGTACAGCAGCCAGCACTCAGCATGGACTAGTGGCTGCGGGGTCAGCTCTCCAGGAAGCCAGGGCTGGCAAGACCCGGCTGGGGACAAAATCAATCCATAGAGGACAAAGAGCTGAAGGCACTTGCCCCAGGGCCCAGCAATGGGTGGCGAAGGCCTGACTCCATGGTGAGCCTCTTGCACTGACCATGTGCTACGCCCTGGAGCTCACCATGTCTTTATGCCCCTGGGCCCAGGATTGGCCCAGGCCTGCCTCAGACTAGTCTGACACCTGGTCTCCCAAGAGACCCTCTGTTCCCCACTTCTGCTTTTACAGCTTCTCTGGGACCTCTCCTTGCTGCTCAGCCTCATGGCTGGGTTGCCCCAGGCCCTCTCCTACCCACAGTTGGACTGACCTCCCTGGGCTGCACTGGCGGACTGGCTGGGTCAGAGCAGCCTTCCTGCCCTGCACCCTGAGGCGGCCTAGGATCCGGGCTCCTGACAGGGTCCATGTCAGCCTGCTTTCCGGCTCTGTTATCGAGGTGCTCCTGCTGCCCTCCCAGGAAGGGGCAGCCCCACCCCTGCAGGGAAGGACGCTGAGAAGCCCATGTCAAGTCTCTCCATGACTGACACCACAGGCTGCTCTGCTGTAACTTCCTGTGGGGGCAGGGCCTTCCCACCCAGGCTGGCTCAGTCACCAGCCTGCTGAGGGCTTCCGGCTGGGGGAGTGAGTGTAGGAGCCGGCCCCCAGGTCACCAGGAGCCGCTGAGCCCCCCTCAGATCTCTGCGATGTGACCTCTGCCCGATTCAAGCAAGGCCTCCCCTCTGCCCCTAGAAGAGGATGAAGGGATGGGCAGGTCTACTCCTGGGGACTTGGCAGAACCAGTTGGGTGGGACAAGCGAGGAAGATGGTGGGAGCAAGGGGAAGTTGAGGAAATGTCTTTTTTGGAGCCGAATGATTAAGCTGGTTCCTGAGTCATCACAACCCCGTTATCGCGAGCTGCGCAGCGGGCATAGCCCGGAAGTGCCCAGACTGTACTGGGTGGGGGACAGCAGCGGGTACTCACTGATCTCCTCCACGATCTTCAGGAGTACCCCACCAATGTGCGACTCCCCTGTGACCCGGAGGGTGACCGACTCGGCCTCGGGGTCCTCCTCTCCCACAAACACTCGTAGCTCCCAGGACGAGTCAATGTAGTCCCCAGAGGCGGTCTTCATCCCCGCCATGGCTGCAGTTGTGTCTACAGAGGGTGGAAGGAAGCAGGGTGAGCGCCCTGGGGCCTGGGAGCCTGCCATGGCTACAAGGCAAAAGCCTCGCACACCCTGGACGGGTGGGAGCAACCCGTGGCAGTGGAGACACAGGTGCTGAGTCCTTCCGGGCCGGCCTCTGAACTTCTAGCCAACACAGGTGGTTCAGCTGGAAGGACCCCCGAGACCTTGTCTGACGCGTTCCCAACTTACAGATAGAAGACTGGGGCCTGGTCAGAAGGGGCCCCACTGAGACTACCCTGTTCCGTGCTACAGTAGGGCACAGTCCGGGGCTACTCCCCCAGGCCGACACTGCCAATGTGACCCCAGTTTAGAACATGGTTCCAGTCTGGGCCCAGAGCTCAGATGCAAATAAACCAACCGGAGCCTCTCTGGGACAGTAGAAAGTTCCAGCAGCCACAGGGGCAGGGGCGGGGGTAGGGTCCCAGGGTCTTCAGCTGTGGCCCAAGCTTACCTGGCCTCAGCCTCCACACCTGCAGGCCTGGTGCTCCCTTCCCTCTGCTTTCTCTTTGGAGCTTCAGAGGGCAGCCCCTGAGGTCGTCTTATCACCCCAGGGCGGGCTTGGCTCCACCCCAGGGCGGGCTGGTGCTGGTTGCAGGAAGCGCACTACCAGTGAAGGTTCCATGAGGCCCCTGCTTCTGTCTCCAGTGAGCACAGGAAGCAAGGGAGAGCAAGGCCTTTGAGCCTGACACCACAAAAACGGTCATCTTTTACTGAGAGGAGAGCTCAGTTCAAACCAGAGAAGCCCCCAGTACGTGTCCAGGGCTGGGCTCCCCCCATAGGCAGCATGTCTCATCTCTGACCTGGGCGAGACAGGGTTCTGGGGCCATGAAGCATCACCGGACTGCGGGAAGGCGAGCCAGGATTGATTGCACTGAGGTTATGTAGGACCTCGGCTGGCCACATGAGCAAGCTCGGGCTGAAGGCACCTCAGAGAAACAAGGTCTTTTTTTTCCTATCTCTAAACCGGGCTTCTACTCCCAAACTAGTCAACCTCTAAAGCTGCCCAGGTTGAGCGACTGAACCAATAGCCCTGAGTCATTCACAGCCTCCCTGCTTCCAGCTCAGGCCTCAGCTTGCTTCCAACTCCACACCTCTTGTCCCCGCACCTGCAATGCGCCCCCCAGTACTGAGGCTTGCTCCTGTCAGAACCACTCGGGTGTCACCTCAGAGGGGGCTGGTGGCCCAACATCTTCCTGCCCAGCACCTGCAGGAGGACATCAGTGAAGGGGTGGTTGCTGCCGCTCTCAGGAATTCAGCTTTTCCAGGGAACACACTAGGGGTTGGAGGCAAGAGCCTGAAAACTGCACGGAGGGTGGCCAAGCCGAGGGCAGCAGTCCATGGAGGCGGAGGCAAGGCTTTCCTAACAGCACCACTACAGAAGAGGGGTTGCCGGGGATTCCCAGGGGAAAGCATGGCTTTCGTAAATGCAAAGGCACCAGGAAGTGCAGCCAGTTGCTAGTCTCAGCATCTTCTAGCCCAGACAGTACCCTTGGAGCAAATGAGGAAGTTTCACTCCTGTCCCAGAAGCCCTTTCTTCAGTCCAGGAAGAAGGCTTTAGAAGTTTGTGGGACCAGCAGATGGTGCAGCAGTAACATTGGAGGACTCCTACATGGCTGACCTCCAGTTCAAGTCCTGGACCCAGTGGCTTGAAAATCATGCCAGTATATGCAAACATGTGCCCAAGATCCTGGGAGGAGAATGAAGAGTGCGGCATGGTCATCCGCCTGGGAAGTGATTTCTCACCTTCTGTCTCTCTCCCCTATCCCTGCTCCTACAAGCGCACATACTAAGAAACACTCAAAAAATGAAGTCGCTTACAACCATGGAAAAGTGTAATCAAGCATTAGCACCTCAAGCTCTCAGATGAGCAGTTTTAGAAACTATGTCCCAGAGCCAGCAGGTACCACGGATATCAGAGAGGAAGGATTCTACCTGGCCAATTGCAGTTTAGAGTCCCCAAGGCCCAGGCATTTGAAAAAACATGCCAAAGGGCCAGCAGGTGGCTTGGTGGTTAAGGTGCTGGACTCCCACATGGCCAATCACGGTTCAGTCCCAGATCTAGTGACTTGCTTTCTCACGTTCCCTTTCTCTGGTCAAATTAAAATAACAACAGGGACTAGCAGATGGCATAGTGTCATAGTGGTTACGCAGCTGAACTCCCACATGGTTGACCACTGTTCAGGTCTTGGTCCCCGAGGCTTGAAACTCACACCAGGTGTGTGTACTTGCATGCCCCAAATCCCAAGAACAGAATAGAGAAGGAACTGTGGCATGGCCATCCCCCCAGGGGATGATTTCTCATTTTCTGTCTCTCTGGCAAGCACACACTCCATAGCAATAAAAAATCATGCCAGACATGTAGACATGTGTGTCCAAAATCCTGAAGAGAATGGAGAAGAGACTGGCATGGCCATTCTCTCTAGGGGGGGATTTCTCTCTTCAGAGAGTGCTCAGGCCCTATACCAAACTGAAACAAACAAACAAACCCAAAGGGTTGGCAGGTGGCATTGTGGTTAAGGGTGCTGGACTCCCACATGGCTGACCACAGTTCAAATCCTGGAACTGGTGGCTTGCTTTCTCACTTTTCCTTTCTCCTCTCTCCCTCGTCAAATTAAAAATGAAATAAAAACAAGACAGAAAACAAAACCCCCGACCCAATTCCTAAAACAGTTGAGTTCAGCTGACAGTGGAGCTGATCACTCCCAGCAGAGGTCTATACATCCATATCAGAATCCTTTCTGTTCTTGGGTTGGATCCAGTGTTCTCTGAACGTAGCTAGTTTGATTTTGAAATTAGAAAGTGGAGAATGAGGGGCTGGCCCCATAGCCAGGTGTTTAAGGGATCCCACATGGTAAACTGCAGTTCAAATCCTGGATCTGGTGGTTTAAAAAACATGCCTGGCGGGAACCAGCAGTTAGCGTAATGGTTATGTCGCTGGACTCCCACGTAGTCGACCGTGGTTCACCTCCCGGACCCGGTGGCTTAAAAGTCACGCCGGGCGCGTGTGCGTGCGTGCCCAAGATCCCGAGAGGAGAATGGAGGAGAAGGGATTGCAGCGTGACCATCCCCTCTGGGGGGGTGATTTCTCGCTTTCTATCTCTATGTCTCTGTCTGTCTGGCGAGCGCACGCGCCCTATAGCGAAAATCTCTCCAAAAAAAGTAAAAAAACCAAAAAAGTAAAAAACAAAACAAAACAAAAAAATCATGCCTGGCATATATGCCCGTGTGCCCAATCCTGACAGGATAGAGAAATGGAGAAGGAATGGAGGTGTGACCATGCCCTATTGGGGGGTGTTTTCTTCTTTTCTGGAGAGCATACACCCTCTGACCATTCAAAAAAATTCTAGAACATTAACAGCATGGGGATCACCTCAACGTGTACCGGAACCTCTCTCTCCTTGGTGCTACTGTGGGTAGAAACCTCCAGGTCAGTAACAGCACCACCTAGTGACCACCCAGGCAGAGCTGGGGAGCCAAGCTAAGCCCACTTTCTGCTACACACTCAACATAAAGAGAAATGAAGCGCAGGTTCCCAGTCAGCCAGGGCACTCACAACCCTCTCAGTGCAAGGGGTGGGGTGACCCCTGTAGGACAGTCCTGGCAAAAAATCACTCCAAGCCATGGCAACATATAACCACGCCTGACTGGCTTGTTTTATTGGAGAAGGGATCATGGAGTTAACAATGTGAAGACAGCTGGGACCTGAGGTTGGGAAAAACACCCTCCCCACCCCATACACACCCACTGCCCCAAATGAAAATAACCGACTATGGGAGAGCAGCTGAGACAGCAACTCTGGGGCAGGGGAAGGAGACACGGAACTCCAGGGCAGCAGTGCAGAGACCAGGCGTGGGCTGGGACGGGCCAGAGGCAGCGGCTGTACGAGTAACGCAAGTATAAGTCTCTGTGTCTTCCATGTGGGTATGTATAAATATATAGAGATAAGTTGTTCTCGTTCCCCTTCTCTCCCTTCTGCTCCGTGCTCCTCGCCGCGGTCCCAGCTCCACTTTCCACATGAGGGTGAAGGGAAGGGGGATGAGCAAGTCATCACCGAATTGCGATCAGACCCACATCCATCAGCTTCTGGATCTTCTGCGCTATTACAGGATTTTTTAAGTGTCTAAAGAAGAAGATGAAAAAAAGTTATTTGAAATGAGACTTAACTCTAAAAAAAAAAGTCTTCCTAGGCCAGCAGATGGTATGAATGTTAAGGTGCCAAACCCCATATGGCTGACTCCACAGTTTGAGTCCCGAATCCAGTGGCCTGAAAAACACATCAGGCACACGTACGTGTGTGCCCAAGATCCTGAGAGGAAAACAGAGGAAAAGGGACTGTAGAGTGGCCACCCTCCCTGGGGGTGATTTCTCACATTCCCTGTCTCTCTCCCATAAATGCAAGCACTCTAGAGCAAAAAATCTAAAAAAAAAACCCCAAAACCTAAAAAAACACAAAAACCCCCAGAAAACACAACCCAACAGAAAGGGTCTTATTTGCTCTCAGAGAAATCCTCAACTCAATTTCCCCTAGAAAGCACCAGCAGCGTTTAAGTGTGTCCTGGTGAAGTCTGCCATGCTCAACAGCAAAGGCCTTCTCTACCATGTAGACAGACCTCGCCAGTCCTACTTTCAGGCTATGGCACGGTTCGAGCCAAGACCTTTCACTCAGCAAAACTGGCTTTCCAAATGACTGCTTAAACTGTCATGACTAACATACGAATGAGGCCCTTACAGCTTACCACCTGCTACCAACTATTTTTGAAAACAAAATAAAACAAAACAAACTTTTCTAGTGGGGGAGAGAGGGGAGGAAGAAAGAGAAAAAATGAGAAAGCACCCCCAAAGGGAGATGGCCACACCACAATCCCTTCTCTCTCTCTCTCTTCCTCCTCTTGAAATGTTGGGTATGTACATGTGCCCAGTGTGTTTTTCAAGCTGCTGGGCCTGGAACTCGAACCATGTAGCCAGTCATGTGGGATCCAGCCATATTAACTTCAATGCCACCAACTAGCCCCATTACAAACTTTTTTAAAAAGAATTATTTTACTTTACATTATTATTTGTTTAATGTGACCAGAGAAAGAGAGAAAAGGAAAGTGAGAAAGAAAGCCACCAGGTCCAGGACTCAAACTATAGTCGGCCATGTGGGAGTCCTGTGCCTTAACCACCATGCCACCTGCCGGCTCCCTGTTCCTAACTCTTTTGGTTTAATTATGATATCACCCAGACAGATCACTTTTCTACCGGCCTCACTCACTCTCATCTAATTGCCTCTGCTCCCAGTTCCCTAAAAGGTCATCTCCCCCAGTGTTCCTTACTCGCTGAGCGCCTGGGGATCCTTCTGCATCTGTTCCAGGATGAGCCGCATGGCTGGATCACTCATAATCTGCTGCACCTCAGGATCGGCCATGGCCCGCCGCTTCACATCTTCAGGGCTGTCATGGCGGTTGTACTGGGCCATCATGCAGCGTTGGTAACCATCTGCTGCCTCCTGCATACCAGAAACAACAAAGGGAGGCTGTCAGTACTACCTGGCTCAGGGTCTCTGTGGCTCCAAGATACAGAGGTAATTGAGGAGATGAAAA